ATAGTTGTATAGAACCTTTAATATGCTGACCTCCAATTGCAGAGGTTCTCAACCTGTGGGTCGCGACCCCTTTGGGGGTCAAACGACCCTTTCACAGGGGTCGCCTAAGACCATCCTGCATATCAGATATTTACATTACGATTCATAACAGTAGCAAAATTAAAGTTATGAAGTAGAAACGAAAATAATTTTATGGGGGTCACCACAACATGAGGAACTGTATTTAAAGGGCCAGAAAGTTGAGAACCACTGCTAATGTGAGGTGCTTCTCTGATGATTCTCTTAGAAACTGGGCTGTTTCAGCATGGAGAATGTCAGCATTATTATCTGGTAGAGCTACTTCTCCAGGTTAAGTACTGCGCGGTTTGGGTTTTGTGTGTGTGCACACGTACACATTTGGAATTACGATTTTAAGTTAGGTAATGATGTCAAAAATGGGGAGATTATTTCAGAGGCAATAAGTAGTTTATTTATTTTTTAAATCTTTTAAAAAAATTGATTTTAGAGAGAGAGGAAGGGAGAGGGATAGAGAGAGATAAACATCGATTGGCTGCCTCCTGCCTGGAAGGAGCCTGTAGTGTGTGCATGTGCCCTGACTAGGAATCGAGCCAGTACCTCGGGTTCATGGATCAGTGCTCCACCACTGAGCCACACTGGCCAGGTAATAAGTTTATCTTTGGATAATAAAGGTATCTTAGCCCTAACCGGTTTGGCTCAGTGGATAGAGCATCGGCCTGCGGACTCAAGGGTCCCAGGTTTGATTCCGGTCAAGGGCATGTACCTTGGTTGCGGGCACGTCCCCAGTGGGGAGTGTGCAGGAGGCAGCTGATCAATGTTTCTGACTCTCTCTCCCTCTCCCTTCCTCTCTGTAAAAAATCAATCAAATATATTTAAAAAAATAAAGGTATCTTAAATTAATTTAACAAATACATTCTAAATGTCCATGATGTATGTAGAACTCTGATGCTGGAGAATTTATAAACACCTGTAAGTTCTTATCTCTTATCCTTAAAGACCCTACATCCTATAATTGCTGAATGTAGTGTTGTAGTTCAGATGAGAGAGATATTAGCACAGCACAAAGAGAGTAGAGAAAACTTTATGGACATGGTGAGCTGGGCTGGGGCTCGAAGATAAGGAGACATAGTGTAGAGGAGGAAACACCCAGTAGAGGGAGCCTGAGTGAAGGTGGGAATCGCAGGGTGTGTTGGAGGGACCAGTTTGGCTGTAGTAGGTGGCACAGGTGAGGGAGTAGGGGAGACCAGCTTGGGGCTGGGATTGGAGGGCCTGCGTGCCATCCCGAGGAGACTCTACATCTTGTGAAACAGTGAGATTCATTCATTTGGTAACCAACTGAATATGAATTGTGTGCCAAGTGCCAACGCGGCAGAAGAGTATAATGGGTAAGGGCAAGGCTCTAGAGCTCTAAACTTCCGGCTGGAGTCCTGATCAACTACTTGATGGTTCACTGAGCTTGTGCGCACTTCTCACCCTCAGGCAGGGCTAGACCGATAGGTGATGACAGATTTGTCAGATCACCAAGTCATTGATTCTTTTTTTTTTTTTTTTTATTGCTTAAAGTACAAAGGGTATTACATATGTGTCCTTTTTTTTTTCCCCCGCCCTTGACAATCCCCTGGAAGTCATTGATTCTTATCAAATTTTCTAATGCTTAAGGTCTTAATAAGAACTTTCATTTTCTGGTTTCTGATCAGAAAATATGTAGAAAACTATTATTACTAACAAAAATTTTAGTATTTCACTTAGTAGTTTTTTCAGTTGAGAATCTTTTAAATGAAGGGTTGTTTTAGCTATTTTTTTTTATTTCTTTTGGCTACTGTTGATTTTCAGTTAGATTTAAAATGAAAATAAAAATGAGTTAGAGTTAAGCTTTTAAGTGTAAATTTAAGTAAGTTAAAAATAAAATCCAGAAGCACTCCAGAGAAATCACAGTTAACCAGGACAGTCTTGTCCCCCTCCTGCGGGCTAGGCTGTTCAGGGTTCTGTGTGTGACAGCCCCACCTGTACCACACAGGGTGGGGAATGATTTTCACAGAGACGAGATGAATGATGGTTATTCCTTGGGTCATTGCTGTTGTTTTCTTACTCAGAAAAGGGAGTTTGGAAAGCATTGTGGACAGGCAGCCTTCGCTTCCTCTGCCTGCCTACAACACACCCAGCTGGGCTAGATCCCTGTGTCTGAGAATAGACTGAACAGAGTGGTAGGGTGGGGGAGGTGAAGTCTCTAGGACAGCCTCACAGGATGTCATCTCAGTGTGGCAGACGTGGGGGTATTGAGTGGGTCCCTCCGGATCTCCGCCTTTTTGTTCAAGGTCACTCCTTGGTCTTGGGTTGATGGCGTTTAACATTGGATGTCCCACAGGTACCCTCCAGTACTCGCTGCCTTTTTACCCTGAATTGCCTTTGGGTCTCTGATTTTAGAGACCAAATATGGACAGTTTAGTTCCATATTCAAACTGTGTGGCGAGACTCGTATCGGAGAGTGGGAAGTGGGTTTGGCCTGAGGACAAGGGACCAGGGAAGGCCCGGGCCTGCTGCTGCGCCTTGTTCCTTGGAATTTATGTCCCTTTAGTTGCTGACCGCTGCTCTGCCACGGCTGCGTGAAACTTCAGTGTGATGTATGGGTTCCGAAGCGTGCGTTTCAGATGTTAGGAATTGAGCTCTAAATTCACTTGACAGAAACCAGACTCATTGTTCCTCCGAGACCCTTGGTGTAGCAGAATCGGAGCCAGAAGACCTGGGCTGGAAGCCTGGCTCCTCCTCGATTATTTGTGTCACTCTGAGCACGAAATATAGTTTTTCTTAATCTGATTTCTCTTTAATATCAAGGGAGAGATAGTTCTTCCTATCGTTGGTTGTTGCAATGAGACTTGAATAAGAGAGCATTTTGTAGCATCCTAAGAGCTATTTAATGCCAAATGTAAGGGGTGGACTCTGTCTTTGAAGACAGGCAGTATGTCACAAGTACCCATGTGCTAAGGATCAGATTTGAGGGCTATGTGAGGGCAGAACCCTGTTTGCTGTCCTACTGTGTTCCCAACATCTTTATAGAACTGTGCTTACACATTTTCTTTATTTCTAAGTTTAAGAACTTTGCAGCATTTTTTTGTCTATTCACCAGCTTTTCTCAGATGTGTGATTGTTCCTTCCCCATCTCAGAATAAATGGGATAGGAAAGCATAGCTCCCTGTTCTGTAGCTGGACAGATAAGCTATCCCTGTGGGCTAATCCCGAACAGTAAAGAGGCAGGAGAGGCAACAGCAGGGTTCTCTCGAGTTCCCTGTCTGCCTCTGATTAAAATCTACATGATAGATGGGGATCTGGAGGACACAATACTGAAAAGAAAGATGTTTGGCGAGACTCTGTGGACAGACACAGGAATCCAGGCTTAGCAATTGAATGGAGAATCCAGAAAAGGAGTTTGGTCTGGGTCCAGGGAAAGATAACGGGGCACATGAGGCCTTACCTTTGACACTCTATCCCCTAAGCTTACACACCTGTAGCTCCCAGGCTGCACACTTTCAAAATGCTACCCTGTTGATATTTTATATATGCAAATCAGCATTCATATACTGATGGATGATAATTAAGATTTTATGTATTTTAAGACAATGTCCTCTTTTTCAAAAAAATATTTTTATTGATTTCAGAGAGAAAGGGAGAGGGAGAGAGAGATAGAAACATCAATGAGGAGAGAGAATCATCGATCGGCTACCTCCTGTATACCCACACTGGGGGATCAAGCCCACAACCCAGGCATGTGCCCTGATGGAAAATCAAACTGTGACCTCCGGGTTCATAGATCAACACTCAACTAGTAAGAGAAATATATCCTAAAGTTAATTTTTTTGAAAGTGAAGTATTTGACTCTTGGCTCTATTACACATGAGCTGAATGATATTGGACAAGTTAATCTCTTTTGAATGTTCTTTTTTTATTAGCTATAAAATGAAATAGTATCTTGCAGAGTTGTTGGAATGAAAAATAATATTTGTAATGAGACTTGAATAAGAGAGCATTTTATAGGATTCAATTAATGATGGGTATTAGTTTTTGATCTTGGTTTCATGTGTAAGTATTTGTATATCATTGGCAATAAGTTCTATAGATATATGAGCATTCCAAATAGTGCCAGTCTTGTGAGTTTCAATATTTGTTTATAGATGAAATATATATTATGTTCCTTCATAGATTCCTGAAGGAGCAGATACCATATTCTGTTGAATTATATGCAGTAACTCAAAAGACATTTATCAGTTGTCAGAAGCAAAATTGTAATTTCACATTTGGAAAGGGTCACTTATTTTTAAATTTTACTTGGGTTATATCTGTACCCTTGACAAGAAAATTAATAGTTTTTGTGAACTAAATTGGAGTAATTTAGGCTATAGGACATACCAATTATATCACATTCTCTCGGTACTGGAGTCCTCATCCCTCTCCACCTTCCCATCCCCTTCCTTACCGTCTCCCTCCATCTTTGATAATACAGACAAATCTGCTAACTGTACCCCAGTAACTGGTCTTTTGTTCTTTTTTGAGAAATAGAACTCCTAGTCCCTCCCCAGTGTTAGCTAACCCACGGCCACCCAACTACAATGTAACTCCCAGCTACACACACTAAATGGAACCCCGTGACTAAGTGTGGGACCCTGGGATGTAAAAGGAAGAGATGTGGGCAACTTCTGGGGTCATCTTCCTACAGACCAAGTCACTTTCCCTGGAAGTCCTTGTTCCCTTTTCCTCTTCGGCTGGGCAATGACAAGAATGAAAGCAGCCCTGGCCGGCTTGGCTCAGTGGATAGACCATCGGCCTGTGGACTGAAGGGTCCCAGGTTCGATTCCGGCCAAGGGCACATGCCTGGGTTGCGGGCTCCATCCCCAGTGTGGGGTGTGCAGGAAGCAGCCAATCAATGATTCTCTCTCATCATTGATGTTTCTATCTCTCTCCTTCTCCCTTCCTCTCTGAAATCAATAAAGAAATATATTTAAAAAGAATGAAAGCAGCAGTCTTGGACCCAGAGATGGACACTACGTGATGGAGATGACGCACCAACCAGCTCTTCTGGGCTCCCTGGAGGGAGCTCTTGCCCACCCTAGATCACTCCCCTACCTGCGAACTGCTCTGTGAGAGAGAAATAAACGTCTATCTTATTGACGCCCTGGTACCTTTGTATTTGTTTATTGCAGCTATTACAGTTTGTTGCCGTCTACCTAGTGGCCTAAACAAAACTCTGCTGTAAAGAGTTGTGGGTTGTCTACTGCCTGGGAGAAAATATTTGCAAATCATATACCTGATAAGGAGTTGATATAAAAGTAGACATAAAGAACTCATACAAACCAATAGCAAAAAGCAATCTGATGAAAAAAGGGGCAGAGGATCTGAATACATTTTTTCAAAGATGACTTACAGATGGCCAACCGGTACGCAAGAAGACGCTTCACGTCATTCATCATCAGGGAAGCGCAAATCCCAAGCTAAATGATGTAGCACTTCATATCTGTTAGGATGGCTGTTATCAAAAAGACAAGAAATAGCAAATGTGGACGAGGGTGTGGAGGAAAGGGAACACTTGTGCAGTGTTGGTGGGAATGTTAATTGATTCAGCCACCATGGAAAACAGTATGGAGGTGCTTCAAAAAATGAAAACTAGGACTACCACAGGATCTAGTAATTCCACTTCTGGGTATTTATCTTAAAACAAAGACATTAATCAAAAAGACATATGCACCCCCATGTTTACTGTGGCATTATTTACAATAGCCAAGATATGGAAACAACCTAAGTGTTCACTGATGGGTGAATGGATAAAGAAGATGTCACACAAACACACACACCACAAAGACCAAGAAGTGTCAAATCACAAGAGCAATCAAAAAAGAAGAGAAAAACGAAACCATGCTGGGAAGGAAAGATGAGATGATTAGTGGTGGTTGTAGCAACCGAGATGGAGGTCTGAACGCAGGTGCTGAACGCAGGTGCTGCCCCACAGAAGAGTCCGCAGCAAAAGCAGCAGCAAAAGCAGATAAATGGTGTCACCATCATGCTAGATGCACCCTCGTTGGAGTGTGGTGTTGGGCCTGGGAAAGACACCTGGGAACTGCAGTTGTCCTTAAAGTGCTACCTTTTCGCATGCTAAACACTCATCTGGGAATATAGCCCAAGTAGCCCATTTGCTGCTCTGCTTTTGGTATTTAAAACAGCATGTACACATTTCTTTCCCCAGATCTCGTCCTATCAGTGGTTCTTACCGGGATTAGTAGGCCTGGTATGTTGAGATTTCCTCTAACGGCTTGTTGCTTCCTTTGATACTTTATATTCCTTCCCAGCAGGAGGAAATACAGCCACGCATAGCATTACCACCCATTTTACAGGAGTGGGGAAGTCAAGGTGAAGGCTAAGGGCTTCTGCAAGGACTGAAGGGGAGGAGGCTTTCAAGTGTGGCTTAAAAGTCAGGAGTTTGGTGTTTTTATAGAGAAAAAGTAAGATGGCTAATTGAGCAGGCTTTCTGAATTCAACTTTTTTAATGCTGGATTCTACACTTAAGTACATTAAATCTTTCAAGTATTATCTATATCGGTACCAGCTAATCTACCTTTCGCTCTATAATGGATGGCTGAGCCAGCCTCTCCTTTTAAGAAAATCCTTGATGTATTAGGTCGTTAAAACAAATTCTAACATTTGGTGCTCATTAGTGTTGTAACCGAAACAAAAACATTTTAATGGCTGATCCCAGAATATTTTGAAGTTAGTGTAACTTTGCTGGAAAGGTATTTAAGCTACGGTATCAGTTGCAAGTAGGCCATGAGCCAATTTTCAAAGCTGTTTCTAAGTAAGACATTGAGTTTTTCAGAATGCAGAAAACTACATTATGTGGCACGGTGCCATGACGCAGAGCAACAGAATGAAACAATTACAATGGGTTTTGTATCGATAATTGTATTTCTAAGTGAGTAGTTTAAGGTATTATAAAACAGAGTTTAGAATAACTCCCCAGTGTGTACAGCAGTTGCTTAATTTTAATTGTAGACCATGAAAGAGTTGTTTTGAATATAAAGAAGGATGGGAATAGCCAGATGACAAAAATTCAAACTCAATATTCAAATCTTTTGCCCATTTTTTAATTGGGTTGTCTTCTTGTTATTGAATTTTAAGAGTTCTTTATATGTTCTGGATAGAAGTCCTTTGGTGGCTCTGTGTATTTTGAATATTTCCTCCAGTGTATGGCTTGCCTTTTCATTTTCTTGGTGGTGTTTTGGGAGGGCATACATTTTTATTTTGATGTTTAGTTTATCAGTTACTCTTACGTGGTTCATGCTTTTTGTACCTTGTCTAAGAAATCTTTGCCCAGCCTAGTTAAAGTCTTAAAGATTTCATCCTAGTTTTTTTTGTTTTGTTTTATGTTGTTTTGTTTTTTTTTTAGAAATTTTATAGTTTTTAGCTTTTACTTTTATGTCTGTAATCCATTTTGAGTTATTTTTTGTGCATATTGAGTATGATGTGTGTGTGTGTGTGTGTGTGTGTGTGTGTGTGTGTGTATGTGTGTGTGGTCAGTAGAAACCCATTGAAAATGTTTGTATGTGGACAAACATTTAGTGACAGTGTAGAGATTGCAACCAAGAGTAAAAACATGGTGTGAGTTGATAATAACCCGAGCTAGGAGAGCAGGGAAGAGAGAGATTTGATGGCATTTTAGAGACAGAATAAATTGGATGGGGAGCGAGCATGAATTGGATGGGGAGCAAAGAGGAGGCTAAGGCTTATGGTTCCAGGAAATAGTATGGTCTGTGGCCAGGACTGGAATATAGGACAAGGAGAAGGAAAAGATTTATGATGAATGGAGAAGAGCTCTGTTCTCACATTCTTGACTCATGTGACAGCAGGGCATTTAGTCCTTGCCCCTATGCACACATGTTGGGGCATAACCAGATTCTTAGTGAGAACACTTCTTTGTATTAACCCACTGTAACCTATTTTCTATGTTGTTATATAGTCTCCATTCTGGTATTTTTTTATAGCTTAACAATATTATAGTTTTGTAATAAAGCTACAATATACCTGCTATATAAAAGAATTATCTTGTAAAAAGAAATAAATGATGCCACCAAAATGGTTTCCACTGTACTTCCCTCCTATTTCCATCACAGCATAACCACTTAGAAGGATATTCTCTCATTCTTTGTCTAGATATGCAGACATCTCACATCATACTTTTCATGCAAGTAAGATTGTATTATTCTTATTTATTTTATTTTAAAATATATTTTTATTGATTTCAGGGAGGAAGGAAGAGGGAGAGAGATAGAAACATCAGTGATGAGAGAGAATCACTGATCAGCTGCTTCCTGCACGCCCCCTACTGGAGATTGAGCCCGCAACCTGGGCATGTGCCCTTGACCAGAATCTAACCCGGGACCCTTCAGCAGGCTGACACTCTGTCCACTGAGCCAAACCAGCTGGGGCTACACCTAATTTTTATACTGTGCTTATAGAATGGCAAGAGCTGATATTCTTTTTTAAAAATATATATTTTATTGATTTTTTACAGAGAGGAAGGAAGAAGGATAGAGAGTTAGAGAAACATCGATGAGAGAGAAATATAGGCAGAGATTATGTCTTATTTCATTTAACAAGTTTTTTTTTTTCATTTAACAAGTATTTATTGAGCACCGCAGTTTGCCAGTCGCTGAGCACAGAGCAGAACACAACTTCTACCTTGAATACTCGAACAGCTCATATCTAATGGGGAAACAGACATGTAAAGAAATAAATATAAATAGTGTGAAAAATACATGTTTATATACACCAATGTTTTTAGTTGTTTTCTGCTGCTGTGGAAATATTTATATCAGAACAGCACACATTCACTGAGACATTTTCCTAAACATATGGACGGGATGATGAGAATATTTCAATAGTGTTTTTATGCTAACTTCCTGGGAGCTATATTTCAAAGTACTTATTTGTCCCCCTCACCTCCTACCCTCAAATTCTTATATGATACCCATCACAAAGAAGGCAAAAGGCCACATTTTTGGAATGCTTCTTTTGTATGTTTTCTGCTTTGCAAGATGTTAACTCTGTATTCCACGTTGAATCCTGAATAGGCACTGCATACACGCTACATATTAACGAAATGATGGTAGTTTCGGACCTCGTGCTAATATTGTTTTCTCTCACTGCTTCCTCTAGTTCTGTGACTCAAATCATGTAATTAATTTGTATTTTCATAAGGTAAATCAGTGCAGTTTAAAACCCAGGCATCTGTTCTCTATATGTTCCACACCTGTGACACGATGATTTCAACCACTCACTTATAAAAGAGAAACACATTGTCAGGGGGCACCCCGGCTTTGAAGCATGCGTTCTATTTTTCGCTTGGTAACCATGTGAAAAATACCAATTACTGAAATTCTGAGAAGAATGAAGTTACTTGTAAACCTAGTATTCATACCAAGAAGGCTCTCTAAATCAAAACCATACAGGGATGCAATAGATCAAATCTGTGGAGCATAAACCTTTCAAGATCAATGTCGCTGAAAAAGTATCCGTGATTGGGGAAGGCAGCTTTAACAAAACAGTATTGTTACAAACAAGAAAAGTGAGACAGCTGGCGGCCAGTCCGACAAACACGTACCATGCAGGGAAGCCACGCAATTTAAAGACCTCGGTGCGTGATCTGGGTGAATGCCAGTGGACTGTTACAGGTCATACTTCTTTTCTTTTTTTATAATTTTTAACTTAATTTTTAATACATGTTTTTATTGATTTCAGAGAGGAAGGGATAGGGAGAGGGAGATAGAAGCATCAATGATGAGAGACAGTCATCGATCAGCTGCCTCCTGCACGCCCTCAACTGAGGATTGAGCCTGCAACCCAGGCATGTGCCCTGACCAGGAATCAAACCGTGACCTCCTGGTTCATGAGTCAACGCTCAACCACTGAGCCACACCGGCCAGGCATACAGGCCATATTTCTAGTACATTTTTGTTACTATTTTAAAGCATATGAAATCTTTTGAATGGAATTTCCAGAAATTAAAAACATACATAAAAGTACCATTTCAGTTGGAATGAAAATCATGACACACAATGTTATATGTCAGTGCCATCTCAACAAAACTGGAAAATAAAATCCTGAGCATTTCAGATCTTGAG